AACGTTCCCTCTTCTCAGATGTACTAAATGGCAAGCTATTTTTAAAAATGATGGTGAAATACAACTGTCCTGGTTAAGACAATTTTGCAAGAATTTTGTGGCAGGCACACAGGTCCCTGGGGTCTCCTTCAGGGTATTGCTCAAACAGTGTTGGGAAATGTGACTTTCACTGTGGTCTCCTTGGAAGTCAGGGTTAAGCTATTCCTTTTTTTTTCTCCTTAAACAAGGCCATAAATCTGAGAAGATAGAATAGTTCACATTATCCTATGCATTCTCAGTTTCTCCTTACAACAGCCTGAGGGTAGGGACTACTATCCCATTTGATAGGTGAAGAAATAGTCTCAAAGAGCTTCAGTGACTCATTCAAGGCCTAAAAGTAGTCGGAGGCAGTGCTGAGATTTAAGCCAATCTTCTTACTCTAGATCCCACCAGCGTCCTATAGCTCCAACTGATTTTCTTCTTGAGCACATCAGTTTGCTTTTTGCTCAAATCATAATGCTGGCTCTAAGTTCTTCAGATTCAGGGTAGTAATCCCCTCCCCCACCCTAAAGTACTGGCTCCACTATTCTCTAGCGAAGCCTTAAGGACACCAAGGGAAGGCGCTAAAAGGGTTCTAGCGCCTCAAGGGCCTGGAGGCCACATACAGGGACTTGCGGGCGCAGGTCCCCTTGAAGAGGCCCAGGGCACAGGCAAGCTGGGTCTGACCTGGGACTTTTGCTACGTGACCTAACTCCTTCCCACTCTCCACCGTGCCTCGGGGCCCCATCTGCGTCCAGATATTTTCTCTATGGAGTTGCCACCTTGCCTCTTGGTTTCCCCCGTCCAAAGGAAGGAGCCATTCGCGCGAAAAGCTTAATTTAAGATCCTCCTCGAAAACCCATGTGCGCGCCCTTAGCCCGCCTGGCGGGTGTCACTGGCTCAGCGTTTGAAGATTCTGGGTCGGGAGCGCGGGGTCACAGGCGGGCGGCGCGGCCGGGCCTGAGGTTCCCGAGCCTCCAGCTCCCTGGGGGGGGTCTCCACCTCCGCCGCCCCCCTTCCCGGCCCAGCGCACTCGGGGGGACCGAGCAGGGAGGGGGAGGGGAGGCGATGGGGGC